ATATTATATTGTATTGTATCATATTATGAAACTAGACTTATGAAATTAGAAAAAAATAAGCGTGTGAATATTTTCAAAAGCGTGTGAATATTTCAAACACTCTCGCTTAAATTATTAATAATGGTCTTCTAATTTTTCGCATTAGTATATGCAGCTCATCTGCTTGATTATAATATCTGTACTGTCAGTGGTAAAATGGTGCTCATGAACAGATGCTACGGGGTGGAGAATGATTGGTTTTAGCAACATCTAGTACTGTAGATACAATCAACTCAGTGCTTTTGTAGTCAGGATAATTACCGGAACGTTTTTTGGGGAATTATGGAACATGTAAATATCACACATGTTTTTTCTCTTTCTTTCTCTTAAGATAATTGAATAGCATTTCTCAAACGACAAATAAACAAAATAGCACATTGCATACAATGTGGATTACTTTAAACTACCAAATGTTAAATTTTGACATCTTTCTGCTATCTTTTTGGATGATCTTCAAAACCTCGACGCTATCTTTGAAAGCTGTGTAAGGTTTTACAAATGAATCAATAGTGTTTCATACCAGCGGCCACATGATACTCGTTTCTCGGAACCTGCTCATAAGTATAATATATTTATTTTTAATGAGAACTTGTGTTCATTATCAGCATTGAGTTCTTAGAGACTAATTTATTTCCGGTGATATTGAGTTAATATTGATGGAGCGGTCAGGAGTGTTATATTGTTTACATTTCTATCAAGCTTGTGTGCCAATTCAATGTTCTTTGTGAAGAGTGACAGTGCTAGTTGATACTATTTCGATGTGAGTACCATCTTCCTGCTGCTTCTTCAATTCTTTTACTGTTTAACTGCAGAGTCGTAATGATGCAAATGACAATCTATCATATTTCCAAAACTCTTGGAATTTTTCAGTTTAATAAGTAATTTTTGTATAACACATTGAAAATTTTGTGCAGAATATTTCTTTTTTATTAAAAAATTTTATATTTTGTAGAAACATAAAATTCAAGCAAGATGACAAGTCGTGGTCACTACCGCCAAGGATTAATAGTCTTTTAATCATACCAAAAGCATTCTTCGGCATTTGATGTCACAGGTTATTACCATAGGAAGCAAAATTCTCCTTTTAGGGTCAATTTTACTAGTTTCAAAGTAATTTAAGTTTCTTCAGTGGTAAATAATTTTTAGTGATCAACAGAATGCTTGCTTCAGGAATATAATGTGCTGAAAATAAGTTATTTACTCAGTGTGAAAGTTAGGAAAAAGGAAGAAAAAGAGAAAGAAAAAGGGAGATGCACGGGACAATTCACCAAGGAGAACACTATATGAATATCCATTTGTTGCAGTGACATATCGGTCATTTGTGATTGACCTTTACCTATTGCTTGTAGCGATTTTTTGATATTGGGAACAAATAATGATTTTCGCCCTCAGTCAATCTATTATATATAAAACGAATCAAAACTCAATACTGTACCGGATGCCACTGCATCTCCGCTCATTTCCAATTTGGTCTTCCAGAACCCAAAGGACATCACTCATCACAATATTAAGTAAGGATTGTGGAAGTTTTCTTTTTAAATTTGTGGATGTCGTAAGATGATTAAATGATGAAATTGTCTCAAAATATTTTTGAGGAAAATTTTCTTTTGCACTCAACAATTAGACAAACATTTGAAGTAGTTTTTAATGAGGACTAAATATGCGATCTAATTATGTTGAACTGCAACTGATATTATCAAAAAAAAATATGAGTCGGCGACCAGCCAAGATTTTTTATAGTGATGGCAAAAAGAAAGAGAAGTTGAGATGGGAAGAGGTAGAGAGGGAGTGGGACATGGGTATGGGACATCGGCGATCCCATCTTGACGGGTCTCATTGAGCAGTGTCAAGGAATCATCACCACCATCTGTGTCACAAGCGCAGTATGTCGGACGGGAGGACATTCTCGAGGGAGAAAGAAAGCGTTGGAGAGAGGAGAGAGAGAGGGAGGCGGACGTTTCAGGGAAAGGAAAGGGAGACTGTTGCTGCTGCGAGGAGGATGCGACAGTGAGCAGCATTGGAGACAGAAGGGGCCATAACTCGACGGCACTTCAGTTTGTGTGTTTGTAAAGTTGACGTGAATGGACGCCAGTTGGGGGAATGGGAAATAAGTCGTCATCATCGTCACAAGTACCCTCGTACCTACTGGGATCAGGATCAGGTTCAAAAAATGTTCCAAAGCGCGGTTCACATTACTACATAGCACCTTTTATCGCACAATCATACAAAGCACCTATTTTTCACCAGTCAGTCAATTCGCTGCAACACTTCAGTGGCACTGATTCTGTGTATATGACCAGTCCGGCTGATTCCGAAGGATGGCGAACAAATGTTAGTGATATCATTTGATCCTTTTTTATCCTTCAGCTATTCATAAGTTTCTCCAAGAAGTGCTTCATGTTCAAGAGCATCATTTCAATTCCATCTCTTTTCCTCTACCATCTCTCCAGCCTATCCTGTTGTCAAGGCTCTTTAACGAAAACAGGAGAAAATTTCCTGAGACTAGTCTTATTGTAGTTTATTTTGACTAAAAAAATTTCCGATTTAATTTGTTTACTTTGTGAAATGAGGGTGATGTGTACTTTGAAAACGTTTTGATTCATAAAACTGTCTCGAATAAATTGATTTTGGACACCGCATGAATTCTGAACATAACTTTGTTGATTTAACTAAATTAAATTCAAAGTTTTGGCATCTACTTTATCATGATGCTGAAAATATAAATATCTTAATAAAGATTGTTAGGTTAAAATTTGCAAATCGTGGATTCGTCAGAATTGGAGGTTTATATATGTATCAAAGCAGTTAAACAATTTGGTATCTGTAGATACCAAAATGACCAATATGCGGTCCTTTTTTCTCACAAATAACAGAATTGATTAATTACCGATACATTTTAGCCTCCTATTCCAGCTGTCTGGTGCTGTATAAACATAAAATAATTCACCATATTGTAAAAGTAGTCCCTTCCAGAATGTCTTCTATGCATTAAATCTTTGCGGGGTTGGTACCGCAGTGGATGAGCGACAATCGTTGCGAATTGTTTTTTCTCCGCTTTTTCACAATTACGTCAGCTTCTTTACCAACGTTTTTTATATTTTTTATCACTATGATTGAAATTTACTCATAAATCACTCTGAATTTAATAAATTTTGAACTGTTTAAATTAAACACATATCGGGTTTTTGAAGTCTACGGTTCTGTGGCATTGGTTTGATATGTTTTGAATAATTAACAGAGCAGTATTATTGGAATGATTTATTAAAATCTTCCTGATTAGGAGAAACTATGTTGTTGCCCTAACGATGTGGTTCAAAGTTTTCGTTATAGAGACTTAAAATTTTTGTTAAGTCCTAAGTGGATCACTAAAAACTTGTCTGATTATCATTTTGGTCCGTAGAGCACTTTCATGCAGTATGCTTTTCAGAGTTTTCTTTTCTTTTTCTTTTTTTTTTTGCTTTTATTAATAAATTAACATTAACTAAAACATGGGAATTCTTGAGGCTTGGTAATAATACTGATCAATTCCTTTCCGTTACTCTTTTTATAAGGAATCAGTTTTTTTTTCACCACATCATTTTTGAATAATTCATCTGTTTTCAGCCGGTATAATTACATTTGCACTTTTATGGAAAACAACACAATTTGTGAAAAGGTGTGGATTTTTTGTGTACAACAAACTTATATATTAATGAAGTAGTTGAGGAAATAGGGATGTTACAGTGAACGCAAAGCAGACAAATGGTTATGGTGAAAATATTGGGAATTCTTACTCTTTTTTTTCCCCTTTTTCCTTTTTTTTGCACTTTTCCTTTTCTTAAAGCATTTCTCCTTTTTTCAAAGTCTTCTTACAATGAATGTTTTCTCTCATAGCTTTTATACCTCTGTTCAATGGAATTAACACTGGTTTTTGGCAAGATTAGGTATCTCAGACAAGTCAAAATAATTTTTCTGGTTAAGTCAACAGTAATTGTTACATCCATCTCATTCTTTTATCCTGTTTTCGTAAACGTGTTGGGAATTATCTTTCGTTTCCTTCGATAGTCTCTTGAGACTGACTGTCGAGAAATTTCTGCATTGATATGCGTCTTCTGTACATAATGGATATTCAACACCTGTCGAAATCGAAATGTACACTCTCTTTCCGATTATTTACTTTTGTTCTATTAACCTAATGGGTTTAGTGTCAAAATATAATTAGGGCCAAGGTGTTCAGTAGTCCGCACTCCGTTCCATCTGGAGTATCCGTGACCACCTGTACATCAAAACCTGTAGTTTTTTTTAGACTTCTGTCAGTGCAATCTGTGGTCAAGACATAGACCAAAGTTTGTCTTTCAGAAAAGGCTTTACACTTATACCGAAAAATTTTTTTGCAATTATCAGGAGGAAATTTGAAGGAAGAAGAAAAAATCTTAGTTTGTTAAATACATCGCCAGCAACCATTAGGATTCTTGTCATGGTACTAATACGCACATACACATATGCATACACCACATATATATATTACTAACACATACGAACACACAAACATACAGAGAAAACTTGTTTCTTTATGGATAATTCATTCGTTACTGGAAATTTCGCTTTTTAATCGGTACTGATAACCTATCGGTCGGGAAGGGAAATGCACTGCATAGTTGTGTTGCATTGGTAACATTAAATTTTCCTCATGATTTTTAATTTCCATTTTTTGGGTTCTAAATGCAGTATTTTTTGTATTTGGACTTTTTAATTTCTTAATAATGTAATAATCCACATGCTGATGCACAGATGGCATTGCCCATATCTCACTTATTTACTAATGTTATGTTCCAAAATGGTTAATTTGTTCCAGACCTGTTTTCCAATTATTTGATATTTCAGTTTTGATATTTAAACAGGAATAATTTTGCAGAACTGGAAAATTGGAAATTCTCGTTTATCGCTTAACGAAGCGTTTTTTATGGATGGTCCACCTGGAGTACCATCTACGGTGTTTCCAATGCCAACAGTTATACCCCTTCCGCCACTAACTCTAAAACAATTCAAAAAGTGGCAAAAAAGACAGAAAAAAATGTTAAAAAAAATGGGCTCCATTCCCGCGAATCTTATGCCACCCCGTGCACCAGTAACACCTATGTTACAATATTCTCGTGCTTTTTCTGTCGACAATTTGTCAAGGTTCAATTTTTTTGAAGTAGTAATTTATTTCCACATCCTTGAGACAAAATTTTAGGTGGTTTGTTGATTAAATCAGTGATGCATCTAAAACCCATTGCAATCTGATAATATCTAATCAATTGCTACACTAACAATAAACAATGATAACGGTGCAATGATATCATTACAATTTAATAGTTATTTAATAGTATTTAATATATAAATTGATAGACGGTCAGTTCAGTCGTTGAAATGCTTATGGAATTCAGCGGAATAATGCACATCGAGTGACTAGGGATTTGTTTTCAAGGACAAATGCATAAACCATCAACAAATTACGTACATTCCAAAACATAGAAGAACCGTTTTGCACAGAATTTTACGAAGAACTTTTCTTACTCTCTTTCGTTCCATCTTTCCCACCATCGACTTCTTTTTATTTTCAATAAAAATTTTGGTTTAGCAAAAAATTAAATTACCTGCTAAACCATTTCACATTGTTTTTGCAGAAAATCAGAAGGCAAGCATACGAAAAACATGAAATTTAAGTTTATTCACCTTCGAACATACTTTTATGCCCTCAAAAAAGTCCGAAGATTTTCATTCTTACTTTTTAATCAGTGCCATAAAAGATCAAAAGTGCTGATTACATGTAATGGAAAATGATAAGTTATGGCTTAGTTGCACTTGCGTTTATTTATATTAAGTGCGCTTCTTATTTTACTGGGAAATTCCTTCTGCATCCCGTGATATGTAGGGAGGGCGCCTAATAGAAAACCGTCATAAGAACACTGGGATAAGTCCGAAGAAAGCAATGATATCAAACTTAAATAATGAAGCCTTATAATTTTGCTTATTCTTAAAATAAAACTATTACTGTATTTACTTGTCTAGTTTTGCAGACAAATGGATGTTCCAGTGGGACAGAAATGTGTTTGGAAGAAGTGCAGGAAGGTTATTAAAAATCAAACATACGGTAATACTGCTCCTGATTTACCTTCTGGTCCACTGAAGTCATCTTTTAGCAGGTTAATCGGTTGACATCATCCACAGTAGCCCTCGAATCTATCCTTTTGTTCACTTCGAAAAGAAAAATATGGCTCTTTTAAAAATTCAAATTCGCAAATGGGGGCAAATGAGATTAATTAAATGCTTTAGTTGACTGTTTCACTGAACAATCAAGTTTAAGCAGCTGCTCAAATGGTTTTGCTGTATCAGATTTACGAATGACCCATTCGGCTCCGTCCACAAATACATCTGATCGAAGTCGTCTGACGTCAACTACCGATCATTCGTCGTCGTTACACTACCAAACACCATCACCAATACAGTTGAAGAATTCGTCCAATCAGCATTTGCAGCGAATACGAGCATTTAGGAATGATGTTGGACCATCGGGAACACCTAGACGGCTGCAGCAATGGACTTTGGTTGCCAAAGGCGGACCATCATCTACTGAGCCGCATGAGACCGCAGATGATATTAATGAAGAAACAAGCAGTGAAGTTAAAAAATGTGGAATTGGCCACAAATCACCGGATATAAATTATGCATCCAGAAAAACTGCAGCGATCAGCGAATGCAGTTATCCCAAAGCAGCAACGTCTCACGATTGCGATGAGCGAAATTATAGATATCGAAATGGCATCGGTGGTTCTGCCAACAGAAGTAATCAGTATAGTGACTATAACACAAATAACGGTGGTCATATCATTCCGGGATGTAACATACCCGTTAAAATCACACCAGAACCCGAGGAAACCCCAAAAAAGAATGATCAGTTGTTCTCTAAAAATGTCACCAATTCAACCGACGACGACAAGGTTATCTTTTTACGTATTTGAGTTTCATTTCGATAAGTAATTAATGCACATCCACATTGTTTTTTATTTTTCGTTTTGATCTTGCCTATATAATCTTTGCCAGCATGACTATATAGCTATTTATGTAGCCACATCGTTCGAATTGTTTCGACAATTAGAATCTGTGTATTGATTAGCATTTTAGAATCTCGAACTGTAAAATTTAGAAGAATATGAACTCTTAAATCTTATCCAGGTATTTTCAACTGTTGAGACAGCTTCAAATCCATTCCAACGATGTAATTCGACTTCCGGAACTACTAAGAATCATGCTACGCACCAAACGCAATTGGGATATTCCCCGCTTAAAAAGTCCGTTTTAGTTAAAATTTTTTGAACGGAAGAAATGTGTTGAGCAAAATTTTTTCACTTAATTATTTCATAGTTTTTAGGTTATATTTCCCTGAGGATTCTAACTACTCTGTCAATTGCCTCTTTTATATAGCTTCAAATTTGCGGTAGAGTTTCAATCTTCAATTTTTTAGAAGCGCGGACTATGGTTCCACGATCAGTTCATTAACCCAGAGTTCGAACATGAAAACCGAAGTCAGCGATATTGACTTCAGTTGGGTGAACGATGTCGAAAATCGTCTTGACCGAGAAATCACTTTCGTGAAAGAAGGTTTCGATGCATTCCCATCATTTTTCTGGATATACATATATCTTTGAATTTGAGTTCGCATTTGTTTCCGTCTTACCGCTATTTGACTGTACTTGTATTTTTTTAAGTTAATGAACAATTCTTATGATTTCGAAGTCATTGATTGTATCTTTGTTATTTCCGCTTTTCGTTTTAATAATTTCTGTTTCATAGATTCTCGGCCGCAGCTACAGCGAGAACAGCAACTGCCAGTGCAATACTTCGGAATGGATTTGAACCAGTCCAGAGCTGGTAAAGATGGGGCAGCGATAATTGTTTCACCGGCACACCCTACCACCACAAAATCATTTGAAGTATTTGGCGAATGCGAATCTCGCAAAGAACTCAGCCAAATACATTCTGATGTTCGTTCCAAAGCAGCAATGTTTGATACAGAAGCTTTTCGAAATGAACGGAAAGTTGATGAACAACAGGTTTTTTTATGTTCTAGACTATTAGCAATGATCATTTGTTTTTAAAAGGAATTGTCATTACATTCATTCAGCAATGTTCATATTTTCCCAGGCCGCATATCGTTATCGTTCACGATCAACTCCTCGCGATAATGTGTATATACCTCAGCCTGATTACCGAGGTTACGACCCTATTTCTGTAGATATATCACAAAATTCGACCCGATACGATAGTATTCCTTCAAGCAATACCCCCGTTGCATACGGTTCTAAGTATGACAGACTCCCACATCACAACAACGTAAGCTATTGCTTCATTTGAGTTAATTGTCCTCGGAGCATTCTAAATATTCTCAGATCATTTAAGCGTATTTCATGACTTCGCTTTTCGTTTAAATCATTTCTTCTATTCTAAAATAAATATAAGTAAAATAGACAACAAATAATAAGTCATTAGCAGAATAACATAAAGCTCGAAGTGCATCAAAGTGATCTATAACATGATCACATCCGAGAACTGATCACAGTTTCAAACACATATTTCAACAATGAAAAACCGCAGTATATATTATTCTATTAATTCTCTCTTTTTTGTCATCCGCATGAAGGAGCTGGAAAAGATAAATAATAGTTTTTAGTCCATAGACTGGATAGTTAGTTCCTTGAAGTTCTCAAAAAATATTAGCGGTGACTAAAACTTGCATTTTTCGGTCACTGGTCGGTTTCTACATTTTCAGGAAAGCAGTAATATGAAGCTGGATGGGAGTGTTACAGAATCAAGAGCAAAATGTGGTAACTCTTACTATTGTAATAGTAAAAAAATGACTAATCGACAACAACAGCAGCAGCCATATTCCGGTAACGACAATGAAATGTTGCAACGTAATCGAACATATGATGCAACTGAATGCTACATCCAGAATGCAGCTCAACGTAGTGCTGAAGAACCATGGAGAATATCCGTTGCTTACTAATCCAACTCTTCAATTTTTGGTTTTCATGAAATTTTCCCTTTGAGTTATGGCACATTGCATGATACTTCTGTTTAAAAACAGCTGCAAATAGCTTCACTTGAGTGAAAGTGCTTTGCATATTGAAGGCGTGTTTATTCCCTTTCTTACCATGATTTGCTGAAGTTGTTTTCTTTTTTTTGTGTGTTCTACTAAAAATATCAGCTACTGCAGTTTTTAAAGAACATGAGCTTTCATGATTTATTGTTCCAACAATAGATTTTAAAGTTTCAGTCATCAACTTTAGGTTTCTCACCAAGCAAAGAACTTAGTAATATCACTATTTCCAACAAATCAGAAATTGATGCCCAAGAAAAAATTATGCCACATCTCTCTACTATGGTACACAGTCAGTTCACCATTTCTGATATGTCTAAAATTGTTGTGAGCCTTGAAGGCAACCGACTAATTATTACCCAGAGCTAATGGAAGTCATCGATGAAAATACAGATGAAATTCGAGTTGTTCTTATGCCAGAGTTAATACCGTAACACAGCCTATTTCAGATGTATCCGTTTCGACTAATGGTTTTGCAAATTTTAACTAAGAATCTAGCTTGAGTAATCACTTAAGCATTCTTTTTTTTACCCTTCGAAAGGACTTATTTAAATTAAAAAACCTTTAAAATTTTCTCGTCAGGAATGCATCAACTTAGACTTCGGAAATTCCAGTTAGGCTATTAATCGCACAAGTGATATGAACCTTTGATATGAAGTTAAAATGAAAATGAACTCAATATTTTGTGAAGTTTTTGAGGTTCCTAAAAGTTCAGCAACAGTACCAGATATAATGAAATTTGATTATAATGGGAATCCCTCTCTCAAATATTCTAATTTAACAAGAAAAAGTAGAATCTCGAGATGCACGTATAAGCATTCTAATGATGAAATTAAAATGCCTGAAACAAATATAGGCTTAAACATGATCTGCAAATATAAAAGTTAAATTTATAAGCTATGAAAAGAACACAAAAGCATCTGAAGCTCATCAACAAATAAATGAGTTACTACGCAAGTGGAAATAAATTGTTCAGAGCTTTGATATTTAAGATTCGCGGTCCCATTAAATTGATTTTTGAAAAGGAGAATTTCTTGAGAGAGTTAGAGTGGCCACAACAATAGTTTTATATTTCATTCACTTTGCAGTGCAATCACCAGCAAAATCGAAAAACATTGGAAAAGCGTTGTGGAAATGACCTGGCGACCGTGAAAAATCAAAAAATAACTGCATAAAATGAATAAAATACGATATAATTGGACTGAATTGGAGGAAAGAACCGCGCACCGACATTAACAGAAGAAAATTCAATTTTAGAACATAGCTATGCTTCGCAACATAATGTTTCCATTTTATGGGTAGGGAAAGGAAAAAAAGAAAGAAATACATGAAACAATTCAAGCATGAGAAAAAAGACGCACTGTTCAGACACCGATATAATTCATGATATTGAAAAAAAAAAAAAAAAAAACAAAACCGGAATCATTAAAACATGCACTTCTGTAGTCTCATTTAATTTTGACTGAAGGTACAAAAAAAAAGCAAATTTCTGTGACCAACATTTTTCTCGACTGGTCGATTCAGGCACAAAGATAAAGCTCCTGAAATTACAATTTAAAGGAAAACTTAAAGAATGGAGCAAAAGAAAGTGATCGTTAGCAGCAGTTCACTTCGAAAGAATAAGTAATAACACGCATTAGAACACGAATTTGTGATTTATATGAGCTGAGCAAATAACGAACGATACTAAAGTGTTTATCATAGATTTGATATAATATGGTTTTGGCAAGTGTTGAATGGAATCTTAGACCGCAATATCTGAGATGTTTGACATTATTCTACTGCATAAACTGATTGGATTTACGATAAACGAAATAATCCTCCCGATGAAAGAGGAAGGGGAAGATGGAAAGTAAGTATATGATGAATATTAGTAGAAAAAAATACAAATTTACAGAAATTTTACAACGGAGATTTCCTTCGTTTTATTTTTTTGAAAGAAATGACCAAAATAATTTTTAAGAGAAACTGAGATGTGGAACCACCAGAAACTGATTTAGTCCTTTCGAATAAAATTTTAATTTGGATCGAGATTGAAGTCGTATAAAGAAAAAGCAAATGTCGCAGAATTGTTATGCTTATGAAACATAATAACACAAAATTCTGCGATGAAAAAATCACATGTCAAGTTATTAGTACATAATAACCTTGCAATCATAAATTTCTTTTCCACAGTGTATATGCTACGAATTCCATCCACATTTAACATTCGACAATCTCTACTGTTGTTTGACGTTCATCCCTGTTGGCCAAAAACTAATTTTTTAGGATAAATTTGTTTTGCAAATTGCAAGTAGATGCGTACCAAACCGCATCCGACGAAACGGCCAGTCAAACCTTTAAAAAGATCTTTTAAAATTAAAGCAATTTATTGAATCACGATGTTACAGCAAATATAACAAAACTTCAAGCGCCAGGAGAGAGAAAAATAAAAGGAGATAAAAAAAAGAAAAAGGAGGTAAAAAAAGAACCGGACGAAAGTTAAGAAATCAAAAATTTTTTGCAATCACTCTGCTCCAGTTGATTGATGGATTTGAAATTTCTTATTTATTTTATATACATCCCAAATGGGATCGAAGTGGGATTTTAAAATTTACAACTGAGAATACTTTCGGAACATCAGTGGCAACAATGATGAAAAATTCATTTCCATCATGCATGAAAATAATACCTTCTTGGTACAGGCCTGTGCAAATTTCCCTCCATGAATAAAAACAATCGATACCAATAAAATTTTGATAAGTGATTATAGTGAGAGCTGACATTCTAGGAGAAAAAAATGTTATTTCATTCAACATCCATATACAAAAAGTGTATAACAAGGTAAGAAAAACTAATCTTGTCCATATAAATTCACTTCTAACTTCGTAAAATGGCATAGAAAATAATAAATCCCATCAAAAGCAATAAAAACATACTCGAAGACTTGGGAAGGCAGCCAGTGTATGATAAGTCCAAAAAACCCGCGTGGATATCCAGTATGATATGATAACATCAATTGTGTAATGAGCACGCGATATTAGTAGCAACACAACACCAGCAGCTGAGACCATTATTGAAAAGAAATGTAGTGATTTCCAACGTCGCGGACTGTCTAAATTAATTGTCGAATGTAAGGAAATTAGCAATTCCTCACAGAATGACCATATGATTTGACACAAAGCAGAAAAAAGTAATTCTATCAATGGATTCAATTTTTCATGATAAATTTGTAACTTGAATATAAGCATTTTTGTCCGTTCTTATCTTACTAAAGAAGAAACTCGCCAATAATTTACATTCTGTGATAAATAAGCAGCTAGTGACAAGGACAATTGTATGGCCGCTATAGATGTAATCACCGCAAAGTGTATGCTTTCCGTTGATCATCAAACCAGCACCACTTACAATTCGCATCGCTCTGAGAACTATATTCGTTAGAGTATAGTCAGCGCCCTAAAATATGCAAAAGATGGTGGAAATCCTAAATAAGGGTAACAGATAACAAAATCAAAATCCTTAAATCCAAAATATCAATACTTCTGGATGGCACAACTGATAAAAAGCACTACCTAATGGAAGAGAAAGGAAATTTCTTAAAGAAAAGAAATTACCATAGTTCAATTGTAAAATTTAAAGAATTAAAACGGTTCGATTTGAAAATTTTTCAAGTCATAATGGAAGTTTTGAACAAAAACAGAAAAGCAATCTAGAAAAGAAGAACTTACACTTAGACGTGGTGAGCAATAATAATTAGGATCTGCAATAGGTACTTGTGTCACGAGCATCGTTAGGCAACGCCCAAAATATAACAATGACCCGATAACCGCGATTCTTCTGCAAGACAACTACTTTTCGCCTATGCACTTTTTGGTTTTCTTATTTCATTTTTACGAAGGTTTTCGGAATAACCGACCTTTTAGATTTTTAAAAGTATGCAGGTGATAAACAGTTAAATAACAGAAATCAACGAACCTAAGTATAATCCAGCGGTGCCTGTGTATGACAGTTAATGCAAGCATACATGTGAATGAGGCAAGCATAAGATATTCGGACACTGTTAATGCCCATGGAATGTAAGGCGTATGAGCGAATACAGCATCCGGCAAGGGCGGTTCCTGTGGTACTTTTTCATGGATGAACGATAAAACGAGATCATTACATACCGCTGCTGTCATCAGCAAACCCAGTGATATCTTCAATTTCCATTCCCAGTTAGTTATTGGTTTAAGCAAATGACTTAATCTTTTTGTAGAAAGTGCTATGAAGTTACATCATACAAATTTCTCAGGACTTGATTCTATTCAATTAAACTCTTTTTAGCTCCTTTTCATAGTTTCAAACTGCCTTCTTGTTGACATCATCGTTATATACAGAAAATACCGTATATCACCATTAAGAAAATAATGATAAGAACTTACGGCAGCTTTACAACGCTCCTTTGGAAATTTATCAACAGAACTGCTTGATGTCTGAACGATAACATCGGAGAGATTGAGATCGATTTTAATGGCATTATCGGCTGATGACAGAAGACCGTTTAATAACGGAGCATGCCCCTCATCGCCTAAAATATTTTAGTAGAACTTTTAAAGGCAACTACTTTAACCACTACAACAGTTCCCTAATTTTCACTTATTACTAAAGTCAGGAATATTTCTGACAGCACGTATTATTGATCACTTATACTACATCCTGATTTATACGTAACATTTATCTTTGCTCCTACTATCCACTGTTTCGACTCTGGAAATCAACGTAACATTACATCAATCAATTCATTCCAGTTATTTAAGTTAATTTTGACTACACCAGTTTTCGAAAAACTATATTCAGTAGAAAGAAGCACCACAATTATCTTCGGAGAAATCTTCTGAATTAGAACTGCTACATATCCTTCGTACAGTACTTGAAGCAGTAGTGATTTGCCTATCGAACATTACCTTCTGTGTGACCACCCTACCAGAAAATGACCAAATATCTCCTCGATTACTAAGCTGAAACCTAAATAGTTCAGTTGATACAAAAACGATGCAAACGAAAGATGCACGCAATCGTAAGCAACCTTTTGTTTTTCACTGAAGCTGTTCAATTTTTGAAAAAAAAGTGTGGATAAATAATAAAATTACTAATATCTAGATTACCGAAATATTTACTGCAATACTACGTTGATATAACTGCACACGATAGATTGCAGCACCTGAAAGAGACCAATAATACCGGCCGCTAAACTTTACGGTTCTTCATCAGTTAATACTTGACATTTCAAAGAAACATCCAGTTCAGGGTTCCAAAAAATGTATTAAAATATCACAAATCTCAATTCGTTAGCTGGAACAGCAGTGAGGTATCTGGAAGATGCAACAAACTGCAAGCCATAATTTTATATTTGAATATTGAAAGAAGCATCCAGTAATTCGAGATCTATGAAGACTGATGAATCGATAGGCAGAACAAATTGAAAGTGCAAACAAATTAAAATGCCTTAATACAAACGAAAAGAAAATAAAATGACGAGGAAGAATGGGAGTGAAAGAATTCAAACAGGTTATTATGATTTCACGTTCTACCACACGTTATTAAAGCAAAAGTATCACCATTACCAAAAAAGTTATAGCTATAACGATATCAGAATACAAGTCAAAAATATAATGAAATAGCTGAGAAGTCCAATTCGATTCCACCAAATTTTTTATGAAATTTTTTTTTTTCGCTATTCTGCACACAGTTTTCCTTATTTGCTACCAATCAAACTGAATGATTCTTATAATATGAAGAAATCATTGAACTACTTCTCATACGCATAGAAACGTATTGTACGGTTACTCATCTTAACGCATCTAGATTTTGGGAGAACTAAAACGACATTTCAATTCTTAACTGTTGAGAAATCAGTAGACTGCAAGAAAGTGTGCAGAGAAAAATAAAACATTTGGAAACACTGGCGAATGATGCTATAAGGAGAGATCGTCTTTAGTTTTTATTTCGATACCCGTATCAACTGGAGTTAACAATAGTAAATAAAAATATAGGGAAATATTTTAAAACTGTTAACTAGAAAATTTCGATCTCTTTTTGATTTTGATTTTGATTGATCATTTGATCTCTTTTTCATGAATCAAATCTATTCGAAGTAAAAAAAAACATTATTTTTGAAAGGCTTAATATATCTAAACCTTGGTGTTCCCATTATATTATCCACTTTATGAAGAATGGTTTTGAAATGATGGGGTCAGTGCTAGTCATACCACTCCGTGTACCTCATTTAGCTGATGTTGAGTTCAGGATGTACATGATGTTAAAATCGGATAAAAAGAGCATATTAACTAATGGTTTGGTTGATCGAGCAGAAATGCATTTCTGAATTTGCTGACAGGAAAGGAAAACGTGCTAACAGATATCAAAGTTATTTTTGCAGTAGATAAGTCATCAATGTTTAATTTTAGCACATTATTTTTTATACAGGCTTCAGTCTAAATTTAAGCCCAAAAGTTCGAGCCTTCATACTAAATTTAATCTTTACCATTTATCATTACAATGGCCACTTTTTGCTAAGTAGGACCCTTGCCTTTGCAAACGAAGTACTGCTGTTTTTCAGTCTGTGAGATTCAGGCATCAATTTTAGGTAAACGGAATGTTATTGTGATCTGTTTGCGCTAATTTGCAAGCATAAAACATGATAAGATTAGTAACAGTTACGAGACCATTTAAGTGTTGTTGCAGTGAGCAATATATAATCCGATCATCTCTTTCTTCTCGAAATGGACATGATTCTGGATAGCAGTACCAAGGAAACACATAAGACCCACTGTTTGTACTAAGCAAAATGAGAAAATGCAACCCAATGTTCAGATCACCATATACTGGTATGCCATTCTCTAATGTCCACTACATTATTGAATCTCGGTAATTTTATAAAAAATTGCGCTGATAACGCCTTAACTTAGCTGTTGTTTCCGTAAGATCAATCATTATTAAATGGCGGTAAATCCTACTTCCCAGGTAATGATATATATCATATGTTGTCGATCCCCGTTCATGATTTTGCTAATTCTTTAAATTCCAAAAGTGATAGTGCTATCATGATTCAAAATCATCTATATATCTCTTCATTCGGTCTCTTATGTAAACACTAGTTATTATTTACTATTTCTTGCTGACCAGATCACGTCAGAAATTTTTACGTCTTCAGTAAATGTTTGTCGAATATAAACCCAGAAATCGACTGAAATTACAGTTTCCGCAATATGTGGTTGTTTGCTGATTATACTTCATAATATCTCAGTTACCTACTTTACTGATAACGGAGGAATACCAACCACAAACTATAAATCAGTTTTTTCAAGAATTGAAAATTCACTCTTTTTCGTCTGAAAGCTCAAATGCCATTTGAGGCTCAAATGCTTAAGTACCATAATTTCGTCAACAACTTGACCATTCAGCGTGTCATTGTTATGGACACAAACATTGACTGGAAAATAACTAAAACAGTCAAGGTTTGCATAAAAAGTAGAGTTCCATGATAAGTAAGAGATGTTAAAACTAAATTAAAGTGCAGAAGCAAGAATTTACAACAATCGACCATCGGCAGAAATGATTTAAGTTGTAAGACATTTATGGTTAAAATAAGAAGACGGAAAGAAAATGACTCAAACCTCTACTGCACTTCATAATGATTTTAAGTTTAATTACCGATCCAGTATAGTCAGTATGGTTGAGCAGTAATAAATGCCGAATAAGGAGAAGACGGAGGAGGGATGAAACTTTAATTTGTTTCACGATAGAGATAGGAGCATTCTGTTCTCTCTGGTTTCGACAAAAAGGGAAACTCTCCACTTTTCCACTTTTTTGAAGCGCACGTCACAGAAAACTGAAAAACGAAATGAAGCTGAGCAGTTAAACTACAACATCGACGTAACCAACATAGACAGAGCAGATTCATAACAGCATCCGTAATAAATATATAATTAAGAAAACAAATAAACAGATTCTTTTAACTCACAGTACATTTACAGTAAAATAACGACCGGTCAACAGGGAGTGGCTTGAATAATCTTGAACTCAAAATTTTTACAAAAATGCTAACAATCAAAATAAACTGAACTTATGATTAAAACAGAGGGCCTATTTTGCTTCTGTTCAATTCAATATGCATTATAAAATATACGATGTTGTTTCGCCGAAAAACAGAACTGGAAATTTCTGAGAAACACAGAGTAACGATAATAATGGAAGAAGCAAAATTTTGTAGAATAAAACCAACAAATGTAAGTTTCTGAAACATCCCTTCTCGATGCGATACAGAAACTGTATAAAGTTCAAGAACAACTTTTGTATGGCCTCAGTTGGGAAAATTTCCGGACTGCATAGTAGAGACGATTGATGGGCTGTGATTACTAATGACTATGACGACTACATATGTGTGGAATTTGCATGGTCAGAGATACTCAACAAGTGTTTATGAGAAACTCCGCTATAAGACAGTTCTATAGACTGTCAAATTCGAAAGTAATACAGCTTCTCTGTCATTGCATGGTGTTTATGCGTTCGATGAAACAAATCTGATTACATTTGCATCAAAATTAAAGAAGCGGAAACTTTGCAACAGTGCAGGTGCAGAGAACAGTGCGATACCAGCCTTTTTATGTGAAGCTGATTTTAACCTTACATAACTTTTAAAAGTTATTTTTCCAGTATTTTGAGGTGGATCAATCAGCTTGGAGCAGTACAGATAAGAAACGAGGAAAAATCCATCCAGGGAAATTGGTGGCAGAAAAGTGAAGACCAAAAGTCATTCACAACCATGGTTAAAAATTAGGAGCAAGTTTTGGTACGAGGAAAAATAACAGATGCAATCCAATGGAAAAAGAAACACAGGTTATCCTGAACAATTCTCTCTTTGTCAATATTGATCAGTGTGCTACATCAAAAATACTGCAACGGTTACATATAACTGTAATGGCAGGCAGTAAATCACTAGCAAATATGTTAACATTAACAGGTCGATATAGCGCTGCAGCAGGCTGGTTGAGGTGGAGAATAATGCGTGAATAACGATAAGTGGGGGGGAGGTGTCATGACATGGATCTACAGGTGTTGCAGTTGATATGGAAGCGGCCAGATGGTTTTCATGTTTTAATATGCGGGAGTATGCTCGATTCCACTTCTTCCACCTTCCAAACCCAATGAATGGGAGGTATAAGCACGCATCCCCTTCTTCTCTGTGTAGATATTAAGCCGATTGTGTGCTTTTCAATGAATTATGTTGTTAGCTGGAAGATGACATCAGAAAGCAGAGAGTGGTGTTACAGTTATGCCAAGGAATTGGTTTTGTAAGATAGATAAAAGCGCTTCGCAGAAGGTCACATGGAAACGATCATTTACTTTTTGAAATTCAAACGGGAGATCCCAGTTTACCTTCACCTTTATAATGCATGATTATTCCCCAGGAAAATGAACATACACACACATACATGCACACATACATATGCATATATATATATATATACATATACGTACATATACATATATACATATGTACATCATACATACATACCTACATGCATATATATATATATACATGCATACATACGTACATATATACATACATAAATACGTACGTACATACATACATGCACACATACATACACACATACATACATACATACATACATCTATATATACGTACATACACACACACATACATACGTACATACATACATACATACATACATACATACGTACAAACACACATACATACATACATATATATATATATATATATATATACATAGCCAACACAGTCGCTCATCCGTGCATTATAGGTAGCAATGGTCAAAGTGGCATCATTTATATTGTCAAACCTAATTGTCACAAAAAAGGCACCACTTCCACAACTTTTCATGCTGGTGTGTCTATCAGCAATGAGTTTAGCAAAAATATAGCTGAAAGGTGTTTGCCATTGGCCATATCGAGATGATATGTAATGCAACAAGCGTCTTGACATAATGTAAATAATGCATGATAGTAATGCAAACAATGCAGGAGGTAGATTGAAGGAATAAAGAGGGATGATGTATAAATAAGATGGGGAAAGTTTGGTGATACCGGAATACGTGCTCACATCTAATTTCACTTTCATAACGAAGTATCCAATCTCCGCCTTTGCTCACCCTTTGCCTCTCTGTTATTTCACGTCTCACCCATCCCCTACTGCCTACTTTTTGAAAACAAAATAATCTTTAAACCATTTTCTTAGGCGGGAGAAGACAAATAAATGGTTGGACGATGCGCCTCCGCTGCTATTCTTCCACCTCTCCGCAAAACAGAAAACAAGTTTGTATGCAATACCTCCCAACTGCCTATAACCATCAAATAAGGGCAGGGAAGAAAGGGCAGAGAGTTACACAGTTACGACAGTATGAACTATATTGTTACTGGTAGCGTTTCAGGACAATCTGATCCTACACAGTCACAAAACGTTAGATGTAACTGTATAAAGGTTTCTGATGAGAACGATTATTCACCGACATCTGTAAGAATAGGACTGCAACTAAATGCCTAACTGGACAATGCTGTCCTAAGTTATTGTTCTTCTGATTCTTCAATGCTGGAAAATTCTTCAATTGATCCATTGCGGATCCATCGGTTCAGAGTCATTGAAGGAAAACTACTGAAGGTTTACGAATCAATAAATGTGGAATTTCGTGAATCTCCAATGGCTCAATAAAAATATATGCTCTTGATGCCTAAGTTATTCAACGATGCTACAGGATACCAAGACATTCAGTGATAATGGTGGTACGGTACAGTTCGCTGTCACAGTCCACATTTTTTTTTTTTTTTTTGGTGCAGGATGCATAGGAGCCTAGGTTCAAAAGGTTACAAGATCTTAAAAGCAATTAACATTAAACAATCCTCAGGATAAATTCAAAGTCAAATAAAACGTGAGCCATTTTTACCCTTGCATATTAGAGAATGATGGAAGATAATGCCAGAGAATAACGGAGTAAAAACGATGACAACTTCACGAAATTTAACATGGTCTTGTTGTTGCAAGCATTTAGTCAGTGATTCATTGGCCATTTAGATATCAAATAAGTAATCTGGACAGAAAAAAACCACAGTAAACATTCATTTGGCTTACTGAGAATTGCTGAGTGTCGGATGGTGATGATAAGTGATACCGAAGATGAACATGATCAGTGGGCTAAACCATGAGAAGACACTGAGTGGAAATACAATATCTTCGAATGGAACTAGTTAATCTAAGAGAGAAGATTAAAGTGGTGGTGTCCAGCTTCCAACCAAATCAACAGCAATGCAGTGAGAAATGAGTGATCTAGGCCAGTCTTGAAAACGAGAGGGAGGGTACGTTCCGATACTATCTCTTGTTATGCATTGACATGATTTTTTGCATGAAAAGATAGCATCAAATAAACATAGCCATCAAGCAAATTAAGAAGCGATTGAGCGATCAAATGAGATCCACAGTTAAGACTAAAATAAAATAGGAATAAATGAAGTAGACCGGACAGAAGTATCTTTTTAGGAGATATTGCTTATCAAGATATTGATTCCAAGTGTTGTCAAATTGATTACGATACTGGAAACACACCAGTTAATCTAAGAGGAGAGAGATTAACTTTTTTTTTAGGTCAAAGTTCGTAGCTACCACCAACGAATTAGAGACAATCATGATCAATAAAGAGACATACATATATTTTAATCACTTAGAGCTAGGCAAGTTCAATTTAAGGGGTAGGGATTGACAGATGCAGCCAAGAAGGAATCGATGAGTACTTGGTTGAAGGACACAAATGATGGATTAGATATTTTACATCATAAGTGCGTCAAGGAAACAAATAGCTTTCTAAAAGAATGAGTGGAAGGCCCCTCCCAACAATTATTCCTTGAGGATACTAGATATTCTTATTAATTATAATTTTTATCAATAGTTTTTGTACAAGTAGAGCACTAAGAAGACTAAATTCTGGCTGCTACTTTTATCATCACTGATTACACCACGCGACAATCCATGATACGGAACAAACATAAATTTTTTTATCATATTTTACAAGAAGTTGAATGCGTAACACACATACAGTCGATTATACAAAACACTAGATGTCTACTTTTTATAACGGGGATTCAAAACCATTGCATGAAGTTCACTGTCCTCATCATTAAACCACTGAACTGAAATACATCAGCTGAAAATTAATTTAAATCTCACTTGCACAAATCCAGATCCAATTTGCAACCAAAACTTCTGAAGCAAAACTGCTTCAAATGCACAAACCCTCATCCAGAATTTTCCAAAATTGATCAATTCACCTGCCTATCCCGTCCTATTAATATGATGAAAATCAACTGTAAGCATATTCAAAAGCACAAGTCGCGGCGGAAACTCGATATTAACACCCCTCTCTATTCTTCCTAATTTTATAAGTTTTGTATTGTGCAATTCGCCGAGAACAGACCAACCCACCTTCCAACCAATGCATAAAAATGATAATTGCCCGTAAAAAATCCGAATTATCCAGTTCAAATCCTTCGAAACATCCACCAACTCCAACTTTTATTATAATCTTGAACACTGGAGGGGATTTTCCGAGGGGTAAGCGAAGTACATTTATTGTTGCTCTTGTACTTATAATCGACTAAATTTACACTTTATGAGAAAATATTGAACTACTATGTGTTGCATAAAATATAAGTCAGCTGCAATCTTCCACTGCGAACGTCGGCCAACTGAAATTGCAAAGAACCCTTCTTCGAAAACAAGGTAGAAACTTAAAGGAAATGAATGCTGAAAATTTAGTATTACTGCAATTCTATGGCCAGGATTAAATGCTTGAGCAGTCGTTAGCATTCTGCATCCACAATTACGTAAAAAAAAAAGAAAAAAACTGTTTTTCCAGAAAATTGAACAATACGATGACTAAAACTATCCCATAGCCAGTTCACGCGATTCGAATTAAGCCGAAAAAATTGCATGGAAAAATAACAATTTTCATGAAACTTTAATAACTTTCATGAAACATTCTCAAGCAAAAAAAGCTCCAAAATACTTCGAAAAATAAAATTTCAAGCACACTAACAAATACCTAGAATACAAAAAGAATACGAATAATGAAAACACAAAGGAATTCAAGAAAATTTACAACTGGTCATATATTCCATGGAATATGAAACGGATCCTGCAATTTTGCTCCTTTAACTCTCTAGCAAAGAAAATTATGATGCCAGCTGTTAAACCAATCTAGTTAAACCATATGTTGTAGGTTACAGGTGATTTGTACAAACATATTAATTAACTTGAAGTAGAAAAAAACGTACAAACGACAAATTATAACCATAAAAAAAGATTACGATTAAAAAGAATATCATGTAAAATATAATCAGAACACCTAAGGCCTGTACAGTAGTAATGCACAGTAAAAGCCGCAGCGGTGATGCATTCGCTAGATTTCCCACAGTCGTATATTTTATTTGAATGTCGCCGAAAAGAATCTCAAATTATCTAAAAAGGACAATTATGAAAAAAGGTACTTCGCATCACAGCCTATGTTGTTTACAAAACAGCTGGTGAGATTCCAGTAAGGCCAACTGCATCGAATAAACCCGATGTTGGGACTACTAAAAGGCAGCCTCAATAAGAGACTCATGAACGATCGACATAAAAAGCAAAAAAAAACTATTTTGAACTGTGTTTCTGGAAGAACGCTACGTGTCGACAACATAAACGAAAACCGTGACAAATGGTGAACCAGAACAATGCCAAAGAAATAGGTTTACTGCTTGAATACTCTTCACCCGACCTTCGAGGTGAATTCAAGGATAAATCAAAGAAAAAAAGAACGAGAGTCTAGTGTGAAACACCGTTACCGGCAACTCTCTTATTAACAAGTAATCGATGCATATATTTATCCTCAGTAGCTTGCTAAAGGTTATAAACTAAGAGCCAAACGCACAAGCTATCAAAAGTGATTACCCAACAGAAATTCCTAGTCGTGATTTAGTGCGTAATCGGACAAATGGAAAATCATACTAAAACGTAAGATTGCTGATCCCTCATACATTGCTTCAAATACTAATGCAGTGACTGAAAACAATGGAAAAAAAAAAATACCGCTTCAGATAACGGATATTGCTACCAGCATTCAATTAATTTGAAAACAATTACTTTATTAAAAAAACGAAAAGCTACGTGGAAATGGCTTAAAAGGCGTGCGGCTGAATGAGATCTGCAAAAGAAACCCCTTTCATTCTTGAACACTTCTATGTCCACCGAGTTTTCTCTGGAATTCTGCTTAGAGGACTTTCATATTCATTGTTTTTCCTCTTTTCTCGCAGAGAAAGAGGAGCCTGAGGTATGGTAGTCACATTAGCTGCGGCAGAATTACTTGACGGTGATTTGGTTCCTTCTCCCCTTACACGATTCACCGCTCTTTCATCACGATCTTGACTGTTGTTAAGTTCACTCCTGTATCCACCAATTATATACCTTTAAAAGACAGTTTAATAAAATGCCTAGATGTTGATAAGTTCACGATGAAATTACTCAATTTCTAACAAGTATACTTTACAGGTCAAGAAATAAACGGAGAGCATAAAGTAAATTAATTTAATCAAGTACGGTTAACTCGAAAACTTCACTCCTTTCAACTGTTAAATATGAACCTTTTTGAAAATGTTAACCTTTTCACTTGACGTGGATCAACAGCAGCACGAATCTGTGGCATCCAACTACCTCCTGAACCACGACGACATTCATAACTACCAACCCGCTCTACATTGTGTTCTTCCACATGACTATTTTCGTAACCAGATGGATGCAAACGATGGTCT